TTATTTTTTTCAATCCTTTTCGTTTTTTTTTTTTAAATAGACTTACACTATAATGAAATTCATAGTTTATGTCAATTAGGATAATTAAACATGGTTTTAAATTTTTGTAAAAAAAAAAAAAAAAAAAAGTAATTGGCAATCAAACAATCAATCAATCAATCAATCATTGTTTCCATTTTTCGCAGATGAAGTAATACGTGTCAAGTTTAAGACAAACAAAATGGCGGAAGATGTAGGGAAAAGGTAATAGATAGATCGAGAGGGATGTAGGAAAATTATTATATATAAATAAAACAAACGAACAAACAAACGATTTTAATTAAAATGCCATGCAAGACAAACAGAAAGCAACATGCATTTATCGAAAAGAAAATTTAAGAAAATTTGTGCATGTTTTTTTCTTTTCTTCTTAACCATTTTTTTTTTTTTTTGCTAATTTAGATTCTGTACCTCTTTTTTTTTAAATTATTTGAATTTGGAAAAAGGTACGAAATCATTTTTTTTAAATTTCTCATACGATTTTAATTACTTTATACATAAAATTTTTACTATATTATTATGTTTTACTTTTATTATAATAATATACAAATAAAATTAACTACTGTAATTATTTATTAATTTTATTCAAGGCAATTTATACTCATCATTTAATGTGTATGAGTGTTTGTTTGTGTTTGTGTTTGTTGGTGTTGGTGTTTGTGTTTGTTTGTTTGTGTAAAATTATACAGACTTGATGATGATATATATATATTATTTTTTATTTGACTACACTTACTGATCCGTGTCTTCGTTAACAAACATCTGTTGGCCCCAAATTGATAACATGGGGTCTAGAATTCCCTGTTTAGAAGTCTGAAAACTGTTTAACAATGAAAATAATAGTAAACAAATAAAATAATATAGTGGAAGATAATAATAATAAAAATAATAATAAAATATTTAATAAAAAAACAATTTAGAAAATCCTATCAAACTATCCATTTTTTTTATTTATTATATTTAATGATGATTTTTTTAACACAGTTTTAGACTTTTATTAAAAATAAAAAAATTACACGCGAATCCCTTCGTTTTGTTGTTGTTATTATTATTATTGTCATACCGAAATAAAAAAAAAAAAAATTTGATTGTTTTACTTAATATTAAATTTGTGCAATTATATCTTAAAGTAAAGAAACAGAAAGAGAGAGAGAGAGATAGATAGATAGATAAACCAATAAAAGGTAAATATCGATATAAATTTAATATTAAAAAAAAAAAAAAAAGGAAAAAATCAATAATAATAATAATGATGTTTTAAAACTTTTAAGGACAAGCCATGCAAAAAATATTATTTATAAAAAAAAAAAAAAAAAAAAAAACAATAAAACAAAATAAAAGTGATTAATGAATGCACTTAATTTAATTGGCGCGTTCGCTTTAAGTATTGCCAACTTGATTTTATCCAAAAAAAAAAAAAAAATCGATTCGTTATATATATACATACATAACGAAAAGGGGGGAGGAAAAAAAAAAATAGAAAATTCTAAATTCTAAAATTTTCTAAAACAACTAAACATTTTTTGTTTTTTTTTTTTTTTGTTTTTTTTTTTTTCGGTTAAAAAATTAAAATTTATTTTAAAATTATCATTATTATTATTATTATTATAAATAAAATGCGAACGTGCCGCAAAAATTCGTTATTAATAATAATTTTATTAATATTGCCGCCGTGAATTGATGTTATTCAAAATGTGTATTAAACTAATTGTTCGATTTGAAAATTTAATAAAAAAAAAATTATTATTTATAATAATAAGAAGAAGAATAAGTAAGCGTTAAAAAATTAAATAAATAAATAAATAAATATTAATAAAATGGAGTGTTTACCTAAAATGAGCAAGAGGAAGAAAATCGATGTCGATTAATGGCCTCAATGATGGTAAACTGTAGGCTGTGATGTGTCCGTTCGAGATGTAACAAACAAGGCAAACATTGTCTAAAAAAAAAAAAAAAAAAATTCGTTAAAAGTATTTAAGGGAGGGAGGGAGGGAAAAAGTATCACGTGACAATCGATAGAAAGGTAAAGAAGGATAATAATCAGGAAATTAATTTTTTTGTAATACCTTTAAGTGATATTATTTCTGCTTTAACAACGAAATCAGATTCGGCTAGTTGTTGTCTGTAAACGCAATTATGAGAGGGTAAAGCTACGACTCTTGATTGTTTTTCTGAAACTATGACGACAAATTGTCTGTCGCCACATTGTTCATCCCTGGAAGATCCTAAAGTTGGCGACATTCTGTTGCTGCTATTCGTTTTTGTTGGAGTTTCTTAAATAAAATTTAAACAATTAACGGATTGTAATTAAATAAATATTAATTTTAATATATTTTCATCTTTCTCTTTTTCTCACTTTGTTTTTCTTTATTCTCTTGTTTGTTTTCATCTTTCCATGCTTCGTATAGATAGGGTATGAGAGCTCCGTTACAATCCAAAAATGACATGGTGAGCACGCATCCTTTCAAACGAAATATCGTACCTGACAAACAAAACATAATTTTTACCACCCTTTTTTCCTCTTTATCACTCTTACAAACAAACAAACAGATTCATTTTGTCTTACCCCAGGGTGAAACGATGACTCTTTGAGTTATTCTTTGTTCTCCGGCCGGTGGAAGATTGATCATTATGGTCAAAACGGATCCCAAACTTGTACCGATCCAAAGAGTCGGATAATTAAGAGCATCGGATTTTTTTGTATATGAATCAGCAAAAACCAGGCACTGAATCGCTTCCGAACTTATATTTTCTAGACTAGACATACTCGAACTTCGAGATCTCGAAAACGAGTTATCTAGTTTATCTGTATATATATTTATATATATATTTTTTTGTTTAAATTATAAAAAAAAAAAGAAAAGAAAAAAAATAACCGTTAATAAAAAATCATTTAAAAATTGTTACATAAAATAATAATAATAAAGCTTCGATAATAATAATAATAATGATACTGCTGTATATTATCTCGTTTCAAAAAAATCAAAAATTATTATTATTATTACGGCAACGGTGACGCGCGCCATTGATCCCGCCAAAGTTCGACCGGCCGCCGCCGACACCGCCACCTTTGACATTTTTAAACGGACGCCATTTTGTCATTTGAAACTTTGACCGTTAAAAATTAACTGATTTATTCGTATGTGGAAATATTTTTTTTTTTGTTATCGATTCCCTCTCCCCCCTTCCCCCCCACGTTAGTATCATCATTAAATTTCAAAAAAGTAAAACTCTTTTTTTTTTTTTTTATTCCACATAGCTCCCCATCATCATCATTATAATTAATTTTTTTTTTATAATTAAAAGAAATAATTACGTCAAAGTTATTCTCAATGTTTAAAAAAAAAAAAAAACATATGTAAACATAAATACGAATGTAATACAACTCGTCTTTTGTTTATATATAAACGTATACAAAGCAATAAAAAAAAAAACTTTTTTTTTATTAATAATAATAATAATTTTTGTTCCGCCATGTTAAATTTTTTAATTAAAAAAAAAAAATTTTTTTTTTTTCCTTCTTCTTTTCCGAGAAGAAAAACTTTGAAACGAGAGTTACGTATTATTATTATTATTATTATTATTACGATTTTTTAATTATTTTAACATGGAAAGCATTTGCATTTTTTTTGTCATCGTGTAACATACGTGAATCCCCTCCTTCCCCCATTCCCTCCTCCTCCCTTCCCCAGTTTTCCCCGAATAATAAAAAAACACACACAAACGCTTTCCACGTCATTCCATATATAAATATTACATATTTATACGTATATTAATTGCAAGCATATATAAATAATTATTAAAGCAATAATAATAATAATAATAATAATAATAATAATAATTATTATTATTATTATTATTATTATCATCATCGACGTAAATGCAAATAATAAAAAAAATGTAAGCACGAAATGTATAGAAAATTGGTGATTAATTACAAATAAAAGCATCATGATTTTATTAACAAGAGGAGCGAGTGAGAGAGAGAGAGAGAGAGAGAGAGAGAGAGAGAAAAACAAACGAACACAAAAACAAACAAATGACAAACATTCGAAAATGTTCATTAATTTTAATTTTTTTTATCACGCGAAAAAAATCAAAAAAGAAAAAAAAAAGAAAAATGACTGTTGATCGTTGAGAAATGACGTTAGAGGCTTTTTGACAAACAAATTAAAATGTCCCCGAAGGGTATCGGGGGCGGGAGTTGGAGGGGGAGAGGGAAAAAGGGAAGAACAGGGAAGAAAAAGGGGTAGAATGGGATGAGGTTAGTAAAAAATGGGGAATGGGAGGGAGGTGAATTTTTTAAAATAAATAAATGAAAATTTTATTTAAAAAAAACCTCAACGTCGGAAAACAAACGAATAAATAATTTATTATCATCATTATTATCATTATTATTATTATCGTTATTATTAATTATCGATTTATTAAAATCAAATCGTTATTAATTTAAAAAAAAAATAAATAAATAAATAATAATAATAATAATAATAGCGACGATGATGTAGATGATGAAAAACAAAATTTACGCTTGACCTAATAATGATAATAATAGAATTTTCAATTAATAATAATAATAATAATAATGATTAATAACAGACGCGTACATAATGTATATTTATTATTATGAAATATGAAGGAAACAACAAGTGAAAAAAAAAAAAAAATTATATCGAGAAACCGGAAATAAAAACAAAAAAAAGAAAATAGAAGGAAAAACACGTGAAAAAAAAATAAAAATTTTCCTTGTGTTCGTCTATCTTTTTTTGTGTACGTGTTTTTTCTTTTTCTCTCTCGAAAGATGAAAACGTTGTAATAATAATAATAATAATAATAAATAATTCAAGCATGAAACACACGAGAAAAATAAAAATAAACAAACAAACAAACAAACAAGCAATAGTAAACAAACGACATCAAATGCAAAAAAAATTGTAAACATAACGAAAAAATTTTCATTATATTTACAAATATATATTATATATATATTTTTTTAAAAATCATAATGATAATAAAAAAAAATAAAATAAAAAAAAAAAAAAAAATTTCCCATACTGGTCCGGGGTCAAACACAAAATCTAAATTTAACAAAATTTTCTTTTTTCCTCCTCCTCCTTTTTCGTATACAACAGAAAAAAAAATCAATTTTCATTTAAATCCGAACGGAAAATAACAAAAAAAAAAAAAAATACAAAAGAGTGAGTGAGACAGACAGTAAGAGAGATAGAGAGAGAATAAAAAAAAAAAAAAAACATGCAATCATCATCATCATTATTTCAATTTTTGCAATTTTTTTTTTTTTTTTAAAAATTTCTGTGCTTTAAATAAAATAAATAAATAAAAAATTTTCAATTTGTTTTCTTTTCCAAAACGTCTAAAAATCCACGTACACGCGCCCGCACGCACACACTCACACGCACACACCCCCCATATAAAATATTCATTTGACGTAATTGACTACTTACGTCCCTGAATAAATAATTTAAAGGAATTATATCAACGTTTGCGTGGAGAGTGATAAAAGCGTGTAAATCTGCTTTTGCTTTTTTGCCCCCACGAAATCCCCACCTCAGTCCCCTCCCTCCCCTACATTTTTTTTCCCTCCACTTTTTAATTAAAAAAAAAAAAATAAAATAAAAAAAATAAACGAACGACTAAAGGCTAAAGCAGTGATGAAAGCAAACCCGAAAATAATAATAATAATAATCTGCGGGGTGGGGGGGGGAAAAGGAAAAAAAAAATTTTCTGCTCGATAATTCAAAATTGTAAAAAAAGCACAAATCTCAAACTAAAAAAATAAAAATTTTCACTCACGCACACAGACACGCATTTTAAAAAATTGGAAAAGAAAACAATTTAAATTAATTATTATTATTATCATTACTACCATTAATAATAATAATAATATTGATGAAAATTTTAAAATTATAAAAAAAAAAGAAAAACCGAAGTTAAGGTAGTACGTCACCTATGTGGCGTCATGCCCTCAAATTCCACTTTGTGAAACTATACATGTATTTATATATATATATATTTAATCAATAATTATGCAGAGAAAAGTGAAAAATGTCGAGTGGAAATACAAGAGAGAGAGAGAGAGAGAGAACACACACAGACAAAAAGAGAGAAAGTGAGAGAGTGTGAGAGTGAGAGAGAAAAAAAAAATTAAAAAAGGTTGACATAAGTGGGTTTTATTTTTACCTCCATTTTTTTTTTTTTTTTGTAAAAACGCGTGTGTGTGTGGGCGTGTGGGCGTGGATGTAAGCGTGGGCGTGTGGGGGTGTGTGCGAGTATGTGTGTGGGTAATATTAAAATTAATTGTAATTTAATTTTTTTTTTTTTTTTTTAAAATGTGGTGTTAAACACCTGGAATGTTAGATAATTGGATTGATTTTCGAAAAAATTTTCTTTTGTCATTTATCAATTAATCATTTCCGGTTTATAAAGACTCGAACATGAATCGATTATTTTCGATCAGGGAGAATTGTTAAGACGATACAGTTAAAAATAAATAAATAAAATAAATAAATGGAAGAATGTAAAGACACACACAGATATAGAGTGAGTGAGTGGGGGGAAAGAGAGTAAGAGAGAGTAGAGAGAGAGAGAGAGAGAGAGAGAGAGAGAGAGAGAGAGAGATAGAGAGAGAGAGAGATAGACAAATATCTAATTTTTTTTTTTTTGTTTTTTTTTTTTTAAATGGTGACGCTACTACCAAAACTGCAGTACTGTCTCGTAACCAGAAGCGTGTGAGAGGGAGCGTAGCGCGAATTTGAGCTGAGACCTGGAGCAGAGCTTGGCCCCGGACCGACAGACCCCTCTTCCGAGTATGATGCCGTGCTCAGGCATTTCTGGAGTTTTCGAGTACCTTGGGATCGAGATCGTCGAACTGGTTCCGGGGCTCTTCTGCCACCTGGGGAGTTTGTTCCACTTACTACTTGTTTCATCGTCGTTGGAGAGACGCAAACACCGTTTATCTATAAATTTTAGTTTCATCTTCTTCTACAATGAATTCTTCCAATTTTTTTTATACGGATAATAAAGACAATGAAAAGAAAATTATAATTTCCCGCCTCCTCCCGACCCTCGTCCCTACCCCCATAAGAAAAAAAAAGGGGGGCACACGTGCCAACTTTTTTTAAATAAAAACTCTGGACTTTTATGTTATTACCAATATTGGCTCGCGTGCCCTCGGATAATTTTTAACCGTTTTTATTATTTGTTTAAAGAAAATAAAAGAAAAAAAAATAATGTTAATAATAAATAAATAAATAAACAAAAAGAAGTAAAAAAAAAAAATATTTTTTTCAAATCGTTAATAAATATTAAATGTGGTACGTTCAGAAATATTAGTGTGACGTCATTGATTAACGAAAAAACGTAAAGAAAGAAAAACCGTTTTTTTCAAGCAGACGACGATTAGAATTAATTTTAAACCGGTTAATAACTGTTAATAAAATTAAATAATAGTTTAAATAATAAACCCGAACCGAGTTTGTTTTTTTTCCGATTCTAAACGTTTTATTACTCTATGAAATAAAAAAGAAAACAAGGACGCGTTTGATGACGTGTCTATAGTCGAATCGCGTTTTTCAAATTTTCGCGCTAAAAATTGTAAATAATGTTTAACGACGACGTAAATATTAATTAATTTTTTTTTTTGTTTGTTAATTTGATTAAAATAAGACCAAAAAAAAAAAATAGTTTTTCGTTTAAAAAAAAAAAAGAAAAATGTCAGACATTGTTATTATTACGCATTATTTTGTTATTAAAAATTCTTGTGTTAAAAAATAAAAACCCTATAAGAAAACTTTGACGATATTTACCAAACGAAAAAACACTCCTAAGGTGTTTAATGAAACGTTTTTTTGATTTTCCAGACGAAGCGTTTCCGCTATTTTCCTGATTCTTAAATAAAAAAAAAAAAAATAGAAAAAAAAAATTTTCTTTTTTCGAAATAAGGAAAAAAAAAAAAACAAAAACAAAACAAAACAAAAATAATAAATAAAATAAAATTATAAAAAAATAAAATAAAATCGACGAATTAATTCAAGTCCATGATTTAGAATTGATAACAACAACAACAACCAGAACAATAACAAAAACAACAACAACAAAACGTGATTTGATAAGATATCAAAAATTATAAACATAATATTGGATTTGTTTGCTCCTTTTTTTCCTATTTTTCTTTTTTTTTTTAATTTAAGCGCAAAGCATTTTTAAATTTTACAAATCGTTTGTGTGTGTGTGGTTGTTAACGATGATATTCGTGGGTCAAAACAAAAAATAAACTAAAACATAAACTAAAATAAACTAAAAGCAAACGACTACCAAATAAACACATATAAAAAAGCCAAAAAAGTTTTCCTTTTTTTTTCTTTTTTTTTTTTTCTCGGTTATTTTTCGTTCGTGCAAATCATCGACGTGGGAAACAACAACAACAACAACAACAACAACCACAACAACTACAAAAATAAGAAAAGTTTTAGTTATTTTAAAAATTAAAAAAAGTATTTAAAAAAAAAAAAAAAAAGAAAAAAAAATTCAATAAAACAATAATAATATTATGATTTGATGTTTATTTTAAAAGGGAATATCGTTCGATAATCGATATCTCGATTAAATTATCGATAAAAATAAAAAAAAAGAGTTAAGCATCTTAGGGAATTGTCTCGAAATAAATTGAATATTTAAAAAAAATTTCCGTTTAAATGAAGAAAAAACAACGAAAATAAATAAATAAATTTATCGGTTTATTTGCACGACGAATCCAAAAAAAGAAAAAAAAGAAAAAGGAAAATTTTTTTTTTTACTCTATGACAGCAAAAAAAAAAAAAAATTAAGTTATGTAAACAAAGACACACCCACCTACCACCTACACACACTTTATTGAAAAATAAACTCGTTAAATTATTTGTATGAGCAAGATTTACAAATTTTTTCCCCCCCTTTTTCTTTTCCAAATGAAAAATCGCCATTTTTATTGCGCTAATAAAATCGTTTCCGGTTTTTTTAAACGACCGCAAAATAAATTTTTTTCTTTATTCGATCATTTCCCAAAACGATTTAAAACAAAAAAATTATTATTAAGAAAAATATGGAAAAATAAAACGAAACAATTTTTTGTTTTCTATATTATTTGTTAACCGGAACAAACAAACAAACAAGAAAATTTTTTTTTTTAACGGTTATTCGCGTGAATTCAATTTTTTTTTTGCTTTTAATGAAAAATTAATAATGCATGAACATAATAGGCAAAATCGTCTAAAGCGAAAGCGACACGATTCAAATGACAAAAAAAAAAAAGAAAAGAAAAGAAAAGAAAAAGGAAAAAAAAGGAAAATGAAAGAAAAACTAACAAGCTTATAGAAATCTTTTTTTTTTTTTTTTTTGCTTTTTTGTTAAATAAAACGTTAGAATGAAAATATAGAAAAGAAAAAGAAAAGCACAATACGACATTTTGAAGGGAACGGGGTGGGGTGGGGGAAAGGAGGAAAAATAAAAATAAAAATTACTTTTTTTTTTTTTTGTTAAAAAAAGGATTTTCAGTGGTGCCACCATTTTTTTTGTAACATGTGTGAAAAAAACAAAGGAAAACCAACAAAGGATAAAATTCAACACAAACAAACACTCGACAAAAAATAAATAAATAAATAAATAAATCGATGACGATACCGGATGTTTTATAATTTTTCGTTATTCTAATTCCACGACGCTTTTTAAAGTTCATAATAAGAAAAAAAAAATTTTCTTTTTGATTTTAATGCCAACCTAACGCGATGAAATTAAAATTAAAAAGGATTTAACGGTTATTTAAAAAAAAATAAAAATTCAAATGAAAAAAAAATTTTTTTTTTTTTTTACTTAACTTTGCGAAACCCTTAATTCGAGTATTAAAAAAATAAAAAAAAATTTTAAATAACCTTATTTAATAATAATAATAATAATAATTTTCTCTGAAAAGAAGCTGAATAAGATTTTTAAAAAGAAAAAAAGATTTTATCTCTTTACTTTTCTCTAATTTATATGTGAGTGGATATAAAATATTAATAAATCTCTTTAATAAATTTTTCCCTTTTTTAAAACGATTAAAAAGGCATTTTTGTGCGCGCACACGCACACGCACACGCACACACATATACATTTATGTACATAAACACGATTTCGAAAGTTCGATCGAAACGTTTTCGAATAAAAAAAAAAAAAAATTTTCAATTAACGTTAAAACACATGACAGCCATTATTTACATGGAAAAACACACCCGCGAACACCGAAAATCATTTTTTTTTTTTTTTTTTTGTAAGCGAAAATCAACTACATAAAATTCTACAGCCTTACATATAATTAAAACAAATACAATGACGTCGAATGACAATGATAATAATGATAATGATGACAATTAAAACACGGAGAACGGAAATAAATAAATTTCTCCAACTATAAACAACAGGCAGGCATTGTTTTTGTAAAAGAAAGAAAGAAACAAAAAAAAAACTAAGAAAATCTACCCTCTAAAAAACCGCTATCGTGCTTTGCTCAGCGAATTTTCTTTTGTTTTTTTTTTTTTTTTTGGGGGAGGTTGGTGGTGGTGGTGGAAAGCAACGATAAAAAAAAAAAAATTTTTTTTTTTTTTTTTTAAACAGACTCCAGAGGTTTCTATGATCGAAATCTCTGGAACCCGCGATTTATAACGCCACTTACTGAAATGACGAATTAGAAGATTTCCGAACGAAGGCTGTGAGCCGCCTGTTGTTGTCTGTTGCTTCCGTCGCAGATCCCTCAGGGAGAGCTGGTCCTGTTTTTGGTGTTTAACATTAGGAACGGAAAGGAGTCGGGAATCCCGCTTAACAACGGCATCTCTCTCGTTTCCGGTTTTTTTTTTTATATTTGTTTGATGAAGGCGTGGCGGTCGGACCGGACGACCGTCATTGTCAAAAAGTGGTAAGTCGATTGGCCGATTCAGTCTTCGGAGTTTGGGGTCGTCCCCTTTGGCATCGTCAGGAGTACACGTTTCCTCTAAAGTTCTATCGTCTACATTTTTTTCACTATTCGAGTAATGATGATAATTATTTTCCACGTACGAAACATCGTCGAATTCGTGAGAATCCGACTCTTTACGATGTTGATGATGATGATGATCCGATGAGGATGAAGATTCTTCCGTCGGTGACAAATTACCCGAATGACTACTCGGGGTGCATATTTTTTCCTTATTCGAAAGCAATGAATTTTTTTTCACACGATTCAATTGCTTTTTCAAACTGAAACCTTTCCACGTTTGACTCGCTTTTCTCGCGATTGTGACTTTTGTCGTGAGACTGTGTAAACTCGTTATGGCGGGTTCGGCGTGAGAAGTCGAAGATTCGACGTGTGACGAAACCGAGGATTCCGTAACGGTTCCACCACAATCTTCGGATTCTTCCACGTTTTCCCCCGTCGGCGAAGACACTTGAGACGATGAGGTATTATGATTTCCCCCATCGCTCGTGTGTGAAAATTTTCCCATTTCCTCCGAATCTTTATTCCATTCTTGCATTGCGTTAAGTGCCGGACTCGTGAGAGATATAACCGTGACATCGGGTACTGGAGGCACCAGCAAACTTGAATTTGGAGTCTTCGTGTATGCACGTGCACGCACGTGTGGGTGTGTGTGAATGATTTGAATCGGATAAAGGAAAATAAATGATCGAGAATAAAAAGAAGAAGAAGAAGAAAAGATAGATATAAGAGTAAATAAGAAAAAAAAATAAAGGATGAGGGTGAAAAAAAGAACAAATAAAAATTAAAAAAAAAAAAAAAAAAAAAAAAAATCTCAAACAAGACTCGAGGAGTCGATGACGATGGGGGGGGGGGCAAGCGATAAGGGGGGGGGGCGGAATAGAGAGAGAGAGAGAAGTAAAACTTAAATATAGCAAAAAAGTATAGCTAGCAAGAAAAAAGTTTTTTTTTTTTTTTTTTTTTTTGCGTTTAAATATGAGAGTCCGTGCTTTATTTGCGTTCAAAAACGAGTAAATAAATAAATAAATAATAATAGAACAATATAAATAAATAAAAAAAGTTAATAATAATAATAATCATCGCAAGCTTTTTCTCAATAATAAATTTTATGTAAACCAGAGCAATTAATAAAAAAATTAAATGCGAGCTGCTTGAGCATTAGAAATAAAATAAAAAAAAATTTTTTTTTTTTGTAACATGCAATGACGACTTTCGGCCATTTTTAAATTTTCCGGAAATAAAAAATTTTCTTCAACGTTTTTTTTCTTTAATAAATATTATTATTATTTTTTCTTTTGCGTTTATTTTATATTTTTAAAAAATTTTTAAATAATTTAAGCGAATAAAACATGGACTTTTATACTTTTTTTTTACTTAAATTACTACTACGTAATGCTATGACATAATAATAATAATAATAATAATAATAATAATTACGTAATAATACGAGTACCTAATTAATAATTACTCGATTAGCTTTTTTTTTTAAATACGAATTTATTAGCCACTCTTATTAAATATGCCAAATTAAATTTTAAATTTTTAAAATGCAATCCAGCGTTTTTAATTTCCTCTTACCCCCTACTTATTTAACGTATATATATATATATATCTTTTCTCTACTGGAAAACCTCGGCTGGAGTAAAAAAAAATTTATATATATATAAATATATTTCTCCAAAATTTTTTAATATTTTTCAGATTTGATAACTGTAGGAGCTATTTTATTATCGACTGAACGCTTTGTGACGTAATTAACGGAAAATTTTTTTTTGTAAGGGTTAAACGACGCGCCTTACATTTGTTTTTTTGGGGGTGGGGGGGGTGGTGAAGGGATGTAGGGAAGTATCTAATAAAAACTAAATATATATAAATGTATTCATTCATTTTTTTTTTTTTTTTTGCTTTAAGGGAAAGAAAATCTAGTGCAACTAGACAGATACGACAGCATACAGAAGTTTTTTTTTAAATATTTTATATAATAAGAAAGGTTATAACTAATAGGATCGTAGTAAAACAAATGATAATGATAATTAATCGTATAACGCGTATATAAGTTAAGTATTGATATTGCGGTATGCGCAACACGTTACTAATAAACTTTCTCCAAAAAAAATTATTATTATTATTAGAAAAATGGGGGGAAGCAAGGGGTGGGGGTGGAAAAACGCACTCTTAAATCATGGACTTATTTAAATATAAATTAATATCAAAAAAAAAAAAAAATTAAAAATTAATAAATTAAAAATTAAAAAAAATTTTTTTTTTTTTTTTACGGCGCCATTTTGGAATAAGAACGAACCCGTAATTGAGAATCGACGGTTAAAAAAAAAAAACCGTTAATTGATCAACTTCGTCGGGTGTGTGAGGTAAGACCAAAAAAAAAAATAAATTGAAGGTGTACTTACTTGATCGGCGGTCGGAGATCTGCATCTATCCTCTGGGAAATTTTCAACTGGACCGGGACGTTTAGGACTTCTCGGTGCTCTCTGATAAGGATCCGCGTTACCGTATAAATCGGGAGTTCCCATGCTGATAAGACAAATTTTTTGAACGATATCAACAATCACTAATCCGGCATCGTTACCGTAGGCCATCCTGAAAAAAAAAAAAAAAACATTTAATAATTAATTTAATTTTGAACACGTGACGGGATTCGAATCGGGAATTTTAAAAAAAAAAAAAAACTCACAAGCCGTATGATGAATTAATTGTAAGAGCTGTGATGGGTCCAGGAGGTTCTCCATTAATCCAGGGCGTCAAACAAATAATGTGAGCTTGAAATCCAGGTTGTTTTTTTTGCGGTCCCGTTTTAACTTTAAGCGGGAAAACGATTTCTTGTGATGATTTTTTTGAATCTCCATCTCCCGAATCCCCTTTTGTTGCACTGCTTAAATGTGGACGTGCCGGATATTCGTGATCTGGAGAAAATTCGACTTCTTCTGCGGAATCGTAACTTATCGGAATTTCCAATACCTGTCATGAAAACTTATTATTTTTATATCGGGATCTCACGAAACGATGATAAATTCCAAAAAACAAGAAACACTCACGTGAGTTTCCGATGTGGATTCAAGTTTTTTAAATTTGAATACTACAACGTGTCCGCTCGTTCCAGCAATGCAAAGTTTTCTACTTTCCGGACATAGTGATATTAATTGTATGGCAAATGGATCTTCTTCCGGTGCTCCGCTTCCATCCGAACTTTTAACTCTCGGTTTTTCAAATATTTTTGCAGATTTTAATTTGTATAATATTTGTAATGTTCCAGCGGATGCATCCCAAAATTTAACGCTTCCATCGGCGTGCCTGCGCATACACATACACACGTTCTCATTTAAATCAATGGGAAAATTTTTTTTTTAATTTAATAATCGCATTGGCGCAAAAAAAAAAAAAAGACATGATACCCGGTCAATATGATTTCGTTGTAACTGCAACTTGTCGGTATCCATTCTCCGCCGCCGATGGGCCATTCTTTTTCGCTGAAACCGGTTTTTTTTTGTATTCGAGATCCAACGGAATAAAATGCGGGTATCAAATCCGACGGACAATCCGCTAAATAAGTACAGCAAGTGACCGGTGATTCATGTATGTCCATCGGATAAGGATTTTCAAAACAGGGATATCCCGGAGTCAATAAATCAATGGCGACTAAATCGTTATTGAGGAGAACGATGATCGCGTAGGGATCTTGAAAATCATTGCTGTATGGATTTTCGCACAATGTGATAAAATCAATAACGTTTTGCTCCATTTCTAAAACCGTCGTCGTTTTACCGTGAACGACAGAAATACTTGGTGTTCTTCCAGCTCTATCATGCGGTAAACCTCCAGAAAATATTATATACGCTTCCCTGAATTTAACAAAAAAATATTAATAATAATAATAATAATAAGAGATGAGTTAACGGAATATCGCGATTAAAAATTACACAAACTCCCCCCTCCCCACCGCCGCCGTACACACATTTTATTATTATTATTATTATTATTTTAATTAATAAACATTTTCCGTACGAAATAGAGAAGAAGAACACAAAAAATATTTTTTTTTTTTTTTTTTTTTTTTTTTGCGTGCAAAATTTAAAAAGAAGAAAATTTTAATTTTCCATTTTCGGAGGGGGAGAGGGAGCGAGGTCGGGGACTGGGTTTAACTTCTTCTTTTCCTTTTCCTTTTTTTTCTTTTTTTTTTCTTAAACAAAGTTGAAACAAAAGAAATAAATTTATATTGTGCAAAGGAGAAAAAAAACATTTTTTAAAATTAATAATAATAATGATGATGATAGAAAATTTTTCTAGAAAGTAAATTTATACATTTTTTCCCTTACTTACTTCACCCCAAATATTTATTTAGAGTTTTTTCAATTTAAAAATCAAAATTAAAATTAAAAAAGAAAAAAAAAAAAAATTAAAAATGGCTTCCTTTCGTTAAATGATTAAAATTTTATCCCGCATTCATTTTAAATAAAAAGGTCAAAGGAAAAATCCGTCGACGTCGAAAAAAAAAAATTTTAAATCATCTCGAGATTTAAATAATAACGGTAATGATTATGGTTATTATTATTACGATGATGATGATGATGATGATGACGTAATTACCAACGCAACCTTTTTTTTCCTTACTCCTCGTTCCCATCGAAATATTCGTTGAAAAGGGAAAGGGAAAAAAGGTAAAATAATAAAATTTCCCCCCCCGCCCGGGTTTTATCATTATCATTATTATTATTTATTCGTTTAAATAAATAAATGAATGAACGAGTTGAAAAATTATCGAAATGGTTTTCGTTTCCGTTGTGTTCTCATATCGATTTTTTTTTTATTTTTATTGTTCGTGCCTAAATTTATACCTGACGTTAATAACGATTGATAAATGATATTTATAGATTTTGAGAATGCGCGTGTCACACGTTTTTTAAAATTTTTTTTTTTTTGAATTGACTCGATTTTAGGAAAAATCTTTTTTTTCCTCCTCCTTTTCCGACTACTCATACTCTTACTCCTCCTTCTTCTCCTCCCCCTACTCCTATTCCTTTTCCTCCTCCTCCTCCTTTTACTAGTCCTACTCCTACTTCTACTTTTATTCTTCCTCCTACTCCTCAGACTTTTTTTTTTTTTTCCTTACCATAAAACTAAACTTCTGACACACACACACATACACATAAGTATACGTTTTTTTTTTTTTTTTTTTTTGAAAGATTTCGTATAAATTATTATCATCATTATTATTATTATTATTAAAATTTTCCCTTTTTCACAAACGTAAATAAATTAAAATTGATTGGGGTAAAAAAAAAAAAAAACAATTAATCGAATTTTACTTTTTTTTAAAAAAAAAAAAAAAAAAAGAAAAACCAACTTCGATCAAAATTGCACAAAACAAGAGAGAGAGAGAGAGGGAGAGGAAAAAAACCAGCCACCGCCATCTTGAAACGCACATACCAACATAATTTATTTATTTATTTATTTTTTTTTTTTGGCAGAAAATCGTGGGAAGGAAAAAGGGTAAATCGAACATCAATAATGGTTTTGGAAAAACGGAAGGTGGGGGGTAGGGGTGAAAAGTTGACACGAGGAAAATAATTTTCGAGCGTAGGTTGAAAGTGGGGAGTAGAGGGGGATGGGAGAAGTGTAAAAATTGCAAAATTTACTCTCATCGTGTGTCAATTTCAAAAAAAAAAAAATGTTTGAAAAGATTTGAATTTTTTTTTTCTCCTTCCCCCAAAGGAATTCGAGTTTTTAGTTTTTTTTTTTTTTTTTTTCACTCTCACTCGTGAGTAATAAAAAAAAAAAAATTTCCACTTTCAAACCGAATAATAATAATAATAATAATAATAATGATGATGTTTTTTACTTTCGGAAAATTCTAAAAAAAAAACATTTTTTATGATTTAAATAAAAAAAAAAAAAAAAAACGTAATTAAATTATTTTCGTTCGAATGAACACTCACAATAAATATTCGACTAACAGACTAACTAACAGACTAACTAACTAACTAACTAACTAACCTAACAGTTAACGGTTAACAATAAAATTTTTTTTTATCTTACCCCGTGTTTCTAGAAGATTTCCATTCAACTTTTTGTATGGGTTTACACGATTCCAATTTTCCATCTTTGTTTGCTTTTGCTGAAAAACAATAACAACATATTATTATTATTATTAACATTAACCATTATTATTATTATTAAACATGTTGTTGTTGTTGTTGTTATTTACATTTCTTTCAACGTTTTTCCAAAAAAAAAGAAAACTCGGACAGTTCGTAAGAAAAAGGATGAGGGAGGGAAAGGGTGAGGGTTTAGGATACCTTAAGAGCACAATAATAATAATAATAATAATGATTTAATTTTGTTTACGGGGAAAATTTAAAAAAAATAATTAATTTACCGTGTGGAAAAGTCACGCTCACGGGTTTGGTTCCCTGCCTGGAATTCCAGGTTGTCAAAGAACCGTCGGCGTGACTGCATATAAATTGTTTTCCTTCGTGATGCCAAGAAATGGATTTTAACGGTTCCGGTGAATTCCATCTTGCTTCGGCGGTTTTCAACCTTAAATCCCACAGGACGATTTGTCCGGATTCGAATCCTATTAAAAGTTTGCTCGGATCCTGCGGGTTGTCGCTTATGTGAACGACGGAACCGGGATGAGTTTTTCTAGAACTGGAATCGCATAAGTCACATAATATGAAAAAAAAGGTTCGCGCGTTCGTTAGGGTTTTTTTTCGGGTAAGTGTGATCTTTCTTTTTATCAAACCGGAAATGACGTAAAACAATTCGTTTAAAATTTTTTTTTTTTCAACCGATGACGATTCTTCCTTTTTTATTTAAATTTTATTAAAGGATGTTTAAATAAATAAATGAACCGGAAATAATTTAAAGAAAAGAAAGATTTTCCCTTTTTTCTTTTTTTTTCCTCTTTTTCTTTCAGTTTCTATTTCAGGTTTTCGTGTTTTTATTTCATTAATAAAAAAAAAAAAAAAAAAAAAAAAATTGTAAATTCGAAATCAAAAAGGAAAAAAAAAAAAAAAAAAAATGGAGGGTTAGAAAAGACATTAAATTTTTGTCAAATTTTCACATAAACTTTTCCCTTTTTTTTTTCTTCCTTTTTTTTCCTTTTTTTTTTGCTTAACTTTGAAAACTTTTTTTTTTTTTTTTTTTTCAAGTTTCCTGCAATAAAATTTTTTTTTAACTTGCGATTGGATTGAATAACGACCGTGATGGACGGAAAAGAAAATTTTATTTATTATTTTTTCTTCTGCCATTTTGTTTTTTTCCCCCACCCCTCCGTTTAAATGTGTCAAAAACTTAAAGAACAAAAACAAACGGAGGGGGTGGGGGTGGGGGAGAAAAACATATTTATTATTATTTTTTTGTTTTTTTACGGAAAAACGTATTTTTTATGTTAGTGAGTGGGGGAGAAAGAGGAAGAGAGGGGGGAAATCGTAATAATAAATAAGAAGCCGAAACGAAAAACCATAAAAACCAAAAAAACAGAAAAGAAAAATGAAACGTCAATAATCGGAACGAGGGGGAGGAAAGTGGGAGGGGAAAGTTGGGGGAAGAGAGGAAAGGGAGGCTTTTCCAAAAAATTTAATTTTTACTAGAGAAATAAAAAAAAATAAAAAAAAAATGATTTCTTTATACGGTTCATTGCGTTTTTCGTCGCATGGATTTTTGCAACTTTTTTATTTTTTATTTTTTGCGATTCGGCAAAAAAAAAAACCGGGGAGATCCCTTTTTTTTAAAGAAATTCCTTTTTTAAAATTAAAAATTTTAAAACATAAAAAAATCGGATTCTCGTTAAAAAAAAAAAAAAAAAACAAACAACCGGTGGAAAACTGGCGGAAATTAAACAACGCTAAGAAATATTTAATTTAAAAAAAATTTCACCGCGAAACAATGAATGAATGAATGAAAAACGGTTTCTTTTATTTTTAAAAACAAAATGGCGGAAAATATGTGTCATAACTAAAATTTAGCAAAAAAAAAAAAAATAAATAAACAGAGATTTTACCTTAAAAGCAAAAAATAATTTAATTTAATTTTTTTGGTTTTGTTTTGTTTTTTTTCTTCATTTCTTTATTTCATTTCCGCTCATTTTCACTACTCTTCCGGTTTCTCTATTATTTTATTTTTAAATTCGTTTTTCCTCCCGTAATAATTATTATTAATAATAATAATAATAATAATAATAATAGATGATGAAAACGCATTTGTCCTATCAAAAATAAAGTGTGAATTTTAACGTGTCCGTCGTCATTATTTTTTGTTTGTCCCTCCACCCCCCCTCCAACTTTCAATTTAAAAAAAAAAATTTTTTTCTCATTTTTTTCCATTCTCGCAAAAAGGAGATAGAGGAGGAGAGATAGAAAGAGAGAGAGAGAGAGAAAGGGAGAGAAAAGAAAAGAATAAATACAAAAAAAAAATTTTAATAACAACGGTTGAGAAAATTTCATTTTCTCTCGAAAATAGAAAAACCGAAAAACTGAAAGAAAAAAATTTGTTTCAAATCATTACAAATAAAAATGTCTCCCATATATATATATATATATATATATATATATAAAGACATTTTGTGTTGTTGTAGAATGTGGGGAGGGTAAGGGAAAAGGGGGGAAAAAGGAAATAAAAATACGCGTATTGATTATTATTATTATTATTATTATTATCCATTTCCGATTTCTTTTCGAATGGATTTTTTTTTTTGCACAAGCACACACACACACACACGAATAAATAAATAAATTTCTTTCTTTTTTTTTTTTATAATAATTATTTACACGTGTGCAATCCACGTGCGAGTGTGCGTGTGCAAAAACATGGATTTTTATTTTTTTTGTGGGGTTGATTCGAGTGACATTTTTATTGAGAAATATAATCACATCACGTCGTCACGCACTCCCATCTTACATTTTTTTTAAATTTTTGTGACATTTTGTTATCAAATTATGATTAGCCCCCCAAAAAATAGATAATAATAATAAACTTACACTTCGATGGCTTTATTCCAATTAATAATATATCCGGACAATGTAAAACATTCTATGTTGACAACGTGAATGTTTCCCTTTTCCGTTCCAACGTAAAACCATTTGCTTTGAAATGGTAGAAAAATGTACGTGATCCTGAAAAAAAAAAAAAAAAAAAAAAAAAAATTATTTCTTTTACAGACATTAATAAACTCACTATTATTATTATTATTATTATTATTATTATTATTATTATTATTATTATTATTATTTAAACGTAACCGTCGATTACGCGTAATTCAACACACGCACGAAATCGATAATATAAAACGAAAATAATACAAAATGAAATAAAAAAAAAGAAAATTATTTGTTCTACGCATACAATTCAGATTTACTTCCTTTTTGCCCCCCCCCCATTGTTTTTCCTTGCCCCCCATTTTTTTTCCTTTTTTTTAATTCAAAGGAAAATGAATAAATACAATTCTAATTTTTCAAATCATTCGAAATTTCATCATAATTAAAAATGCAAAAAAAGGGGAGGGGGGAAAAACAGGAACAACAACAACAACAACAACAAAAGGAAAATTATGCGGTCCAAATGAATTTAAATAAAAAATTAATAATAATAATAATAATGATGATAGTTACTAAGCTCTCAGATGAAGAAAAAAAAAAAAATTAACCGTTACAAAAAAAAGGAAAGAAAAAGGAAAGAAAAAAAAGAAAAAAAAAAAAGATTATTTTAATCTATTGTAATATATCTCTCCCATAGAAGATGAAAACCTCGTTGTTATTATTATTATTATTATTATTATTATTTTTAATTTTCCACTGTCAGTAACTTGGAGAAGGAAAAAAAAAGAAGAAAAAAAAGTTAGGGATTTTGATTTAATCAATAATAAATTATCTTTTCCAAAAAAAAAAAAAAAAAAAAAAAAGGAAAAAATAAAAATCGACATGACGTAATAATAAAAATCAAATTTATTTTTTGCTACGGTTTACGATCATACTTTTTTTTTTTCCATTAATAATTAATTCAAAGGAAAAACAACAAAAAAAAAAACAAAAAAAATTAATTATTCAAAAGATTTAAACGAGACAAATTAGATTTTCAGTCTCATCAAGAGATTTTTCACGTCCTTCATTCACACCCCTCTCCCTTCCCCTTTCCTTTCCTCTCCTTTCTCCGGTCCCCCCGTGTGAAAAAATATAAAAATAAAAAATAAAAATTTGAAATAAATTAAATTAAATAAAAAAAAATTTCGAAGCGAAAATAAAAAAAATAAAAAATAAAAATTTTTTAACTTGGAGTTGAAAAATGAAAAAAAAAAAAAAAATTTTCCACTTTCCTACGTTCCCACCCCCTCCACCTTCTACCCTCTACCCCCCACGAATAAAAATTTAAATTTGAAACGTTTCGGTTTTGCTCCCCCTCTCCCCACCACAAAAAAAAAACAGGTTCGATTTGAATTTTTTTTGTCTTATTTTATTCAAAAATTAAAATTAAAAAAATAAACTAAAAATTTTTCTGACGTATGAAAAATGGCGGGTGAATGTTAATAATTATAAAATAAAAAGTTTTCCAACGTAAAAAAAAAGTAAACATAAAAATAAAAATAAAATAAAAAAAAGGAAAAATGGGAAAAAAAAAAAATGGGACTGAAAGTTTATTATTGCAGACGCGATTGAGCGAGAAAAAGAGAGAGAGTGCGCGGGGGGGAGGGATGGAAACGTGGAAGAAGAAAAAGAGAGAGAGATGGAAAAACTTTTTGCAACACTATAAAACCTTCAAATTTTTATCAATTATTTTTAGCATGATTTTAACATTCCGCCCCAAAAAACCAAAAAAATAATCAAAAAAAATTTTTTTTTTTTTATCCTTTTTCATCCTTTTTTTTTTATATCCTTTTTCAAAGGAAATCTATTTTTCACCCCCTGATACGACATTAGTATTCACTTCAGTTAACTTTCCCTTTTAAATTTAACAACCCTTTCTCATACTAAATGTACATATATATATATATACATTTCGTATTATTTTTTTCTCTCTCTCTTTCTCACTCTCTCTCTCTCTCTTTTTCTTCATAATTCTTAACCCGAGTAAGTAATCTTTTAATAGTAGAAAAGTTTTTCTTTTTTTTTTTAACTTTTATAAAAGTCGATTTTTCATTTATGTAAACGTACCGAAAAAAAAAATTAATAAATTTTAAGTTTCTTTCTTTCTTTCTTTCCCTTCATCATCATTTTTGTAAAATTTTCCAAACTTTTCCCGCCCCCTCACCTCCCTTCCCCTTCCCTACCTCCGTTAATTTATTGCACCGCACGAAAAAAATTTCTTTTTTTTAATATAAAAAAATTATTCATCGATCGTTTCGCGCGTTTTTAAATAACTCAAAGGAAAATTGGAACAACCAACAGCAGCAACAACAGCAACAACAACAACAACAAACAACTTCCAAATACATAAAAAAAAACAAATTTCGAATCGAAGAAAATTGAATCGAGAAAAAAAAGAAATAAGAAAAAAGGGGAGGGAGAGTGTAATTTATTCGTATGTTTTTTTTTATTTAAGAGGGGGGAGGGGGGAGGAAATTACAATGGAAGAATAAAATTGGCACGAAGAAAATAAACTTAAATTTTATCCGCGATAAGACAACATAAAATGATTTATTTTTTGAAATTTTTCCACAAACAGGTAAACATACACTTTCGTATAACGTAATTTTTACACGAAAATTTAATTTTCCCCCTAAAATGAAAAAAAAAAAAAGTTACAACAATTATTTTCGAGAGCGCGAAGAAAAAGAAAAGGAAAAAAAAAAAAAAAAGAAAATGCACGACGTTAAGGTAATAAGAAGTAGAAAACGATGGAGAAAGAGGAGAAAAAAGGTAGGAAAATAAAGAAAAAAAACGGGAAGGTTAGGGGGCGGTGAGTGGTAGTAGTGGGGGAAAAAGGGAAGGGAAAGAAATAAAAGAAATTTGAAAATTTCCCAAGGTTTTCCACTTTTTTCCTTTTTTTGAAAACAAATCACGAATTCAATGTGCGATGATGATGATAGTTTGTGTTTTTCTTTCACCCAATAAAAATAAATAAAAATTTATTATTTATTACGCAAAAAAAAAAAAATTGTTTCTTTCCTTATTTGAAAAAATCTCCCCCCTCCCTCACCCCACACTTCCTCCCTCAAAAAAATTTCTAAATCTGAGCAAAAAAAAAAAAAACCGGAAACGAGGTTGATGCTCACGCGTCACAAATAAAACCTGTAATAACAACCTCTAAAAAATTTCCCAGTAAATTTTTCCCGATTTTCCTTTTGTTTTCCGGAAGTAGGGAGAAGAGGGGGGATGAATGTGCGTGAATCATTATCAACTCATCAAACTCATTGTTTAAAAAAAAAATTTTTTTGAGGAAAAAAAAAAAAACCGAAAAAATTGTCGCGAAACAAAAGCAAACTTCGAGGTAGAGAGAAGGGGAGGGAAGGGGAAGGGCGGAAAAAGGAAAATTCTATCATAAATGTTTTACTTTTCTTTCTAGAAAAAAAAAAACCTGACATAACGAAAATCCTACCGAATAAAACCTCCGTGAAATTTTAAAAAAATTCAATCTGAAACATTTTTTTTTTTTTTTTGGCGTAAAAATGACAAAATTTTTTTTTTTTTTCCCAAAAAGCTTAACTCCCGTTTTTTCCCCGTTTTCCCGTTTTACCCTTTTTTTTGAATTGTAAAAATAAAATGAAGTTAAATCAAATCGAATTATCCCCTTTTTTTTTTTTTACTTCATTCATTCCCATTCGTCTTTTTTTCTACCTTCTCTTTTTCCCCTAACCACCACCACCACCACAACCTTATCCTTTCTCGCATACCTGTTTAATCACTCAAAATTTTAATTAGTGCACAATAAAGCAGGGGAGGGGGAGAGTGAAAAACAAGCACATTTTCTGCTTTTCTTCTACATTTGAAAAATTTGTTTCGCGTAAAACATATTAAAACTTAATTTCTTATTAAAACGTTTTCCATTTTCTTTTATTTCTTTCCTTTCTTCTTCTCCGCCATGTTGTTGTTGTTTTTTTCCGAAGAAAATACGTAAAAATTTTAAATACATGAGGAAAATTTTTTTCACACGTGAATCGGTTTAGTATCAAGTATATAACGGTTACCATGACAGTAGATACTGTGTGTGTGTGTGTGTGTGTGACACACAATAGAGTTTTCCAACCGTGTATATTTTTTTTTTATATATACGAGAATAAAATACTTTAAGGAGATTTTTTTTTTTATTTAAAATCAATACGGGAAATTTATAAATAAAATTATTCACCTTCCTTCTCTCTTCTCCCCACCCCTCTCTCTCTCTCTCTCTTTCTCCCTGTTTATCATTATTACTTTTTCCTACTTTTTTTTTTACGTATAAAAATGCAAAAAAAAAAAAAATGCGTTATGCATTATACGAACGAACGTAAAATTAAGATTCTCATTATTTTCCTTTAGTAATTTATCTTTTATTTTGACGTGGCGCCAACAAGATCCCGCCACGTTTTTTTTTTTTTCTTCCTTTTTACCCTTTTTTCCTTTACTTTACTTTTACTCTACTCATCGTTTATTTAACCAAAAAAAGGAATCATTTTCTATTCGTCATAATTCCTCGTGAAAAATTTAAAATTTTATTTTTAAATCGACTATGAATTATTATCATTATTATTATTATTATTATTATTTTTCCCGTTATCAAATGTTAAAAAAAAAAATTCAAATAAATTTTTCGTAAGCAAATTTTTGCCCTCCAAAAAGGCAAAATCCGATAAAAATTCAATTAAAAAAAAAAAAAAACGGTCGTAATTGTCAAATGTGACCGCTGCCGCTGCCTCCGCCGCCGAAACGACCCCCCAAAAAAAAAGAGGAAAATTTTTTTTTTTTGGTTAAAAAGCAAAAATTTCCGGTTTTTTTTTTACATTTTAGTTGACCCCGATAAAAACGAACTAAACTCCTCTTAATATTCCACCATCGAGATCTCAAAGAAAAAGAAAATTTCCCATCGCCCGCCCCCCAAGTTTTTCTATTTCGTTTTTCCGCCATTTTTGTTTTTTTTTTCCGAAAAATTATAATATATAGAAAAAAATAAAAATATGTGACATACCTCTCTCTTTGAAATTTAAGACTGTGAACAACTTCCGGTTTCTTTTGTCTGAAATTCCATAGGTGAATGACGTCATCAGAGGTTGCCGTTATGAGTGCTCCTTCGTTAATCAAAAATTGAATTTGTATTACGGCTCCTTCTCCTTCGTGTTTTAAATGAGCGTCGACTCCGGGTCCACCCAATCTGTTGTTTTGAAATTTTTACATTAAGGAAAAACTTTTTCCATATACATATATAATAATACATCAATCTTAACATTTTCATTTATTGACTTTTTACCCTTCCCCTTCCCCTCCTCCACCACTACCCCGACCTTGTAAAAAAAAAAAAAAAACAATTTTTCCATCGTAAAAAAAAAAAAAAAATTTTCTTTTTACTTTTATTATTTCTCATTTGATATAAAAAAAAAGCAACAATACGATTAACTATTTAAATCGTAGCAACAAGTAGCGTTTCCGCTTTTCCAACTTAAAGAAATGGCAACAACAAATTTATTCGAATCCATTCAGAAATTTCTAAAAAAAAAAAAAAAAACAAAAAAACAAACAAACCGATAAAATCATCAATTTAAAAAATTCATGGCACATTCGAAAACGAGAAAAATTATAAAAAAACGATTTTTAATCACTATTTTATCCGTTACGCCAAAAATATTTAAATAAAATTAAAAATCCCCGGAAGAAAGTTCTAGAAATTGGAAAAATATTTTTAAAAAAAAAAGAAAATCCAAAATTCCACCAGATTTAAATTATTCTACTCACGTATAAAATAGAAAACCGTTATACGTGTGTGGGTGTGTGTATTTTTTTTAACCGGAGAAAATCGGACGATTTATTATTGAATTTTCATTTTCACGAAGAAAAAGAAGCAGAAGAAAAAAGTACACCTTCGACTAAATAATAATTTCCTTTTTTTTCTATTTCGAAAACCCACCCCCTCCCCAAAAACCAAAAAAATCACATGTTAACCGATAGTTATTATATAACAAATCGTGCTTCGTGTAATTTAGGATAAATTTTCTCTCTCTCTCTCTCTCTCTCTCTCTCTCTCTCTCTCACGTATCCACAGCCTTTTCTTATTCTAAATAAAAAATAGTTCCCGTAAAGTCACATAGCCTTTTTTTTCCCGCCATTTTTTTTTTTTTTTCAAAATTCCGTCTCATGATTCTCTAATAATAAACTCGTTTTAATTGTCGGCCCTGTTTGGAATTTTTAATAAGTCTACAAATCCCATGTTTAACTTATGCGAAAGACAGGGCAAATAAAAAAAAATTTCGAGTTATAATTTTTATTGATTTTAACAGTACGAGAGAAACATATATGTATGAAAATCAAGTGGGAAAATTTTTTTTTTTTTAAAAAAGCCGGAAAAAAAAATAGAATAACTGATGATGGCATTAAAATTTCTAGAAAAGAATAAGAATAAGAAAGAGAAAAAGAGAAAGAAAAAAAGCTCTCGATTTAGATGAATGAGAAAAAAACATGGGAAAACCATTAAAACCAATAAAAAATAAGAATTTCCAGTTGAAAATTTTTCCTTTTTTTTCCTTTTTCTTTTGCTTTTTTTGCCTTTTTTTTCCAGTTGGAAAAATTAAACGAACTTGAAAAAGTTAAATAAATCGATATTTTTATTTAAGTTTTTTTAAAAAAAAAAGAGAGAGAGAGAACTCAAAATACAGGAAAAAAATTTAAATTGATTACTATTGGAATTCGATTAAAAAACACACAAAATAATAATAATAATTAATCGGCGATAAGTATTAAAACAAAAAAAAATACTTATAATAACTTTTCTTTTTTTTAAAGAAATATAATTAAAACTTTTAATTAAATACTTTTAATTTTCGGATTTTTCAATGAAAAAAAAGGAAAAGAAAAAGAAAATTTTTTTTTTTCAAACTGATTTGTTCCAATCATTTTCCAAACCGTTTTCTTTCAATTTTTCTTGTTGCTTAACTAAAACGATAGAAATGAATATAAAAATATAAAAAAAAATTGAACGAATAAATGGGAAAAGTTAAATCAAAACTTAAATAATCCGAAAAAAAAAAGAAAAAGAGGAAAAATCTAAAAGTGAAATTTTAAGTTTTCGCGTCATTAATTTTTGGGTCCCTCTCGATTCAACCTCCTAAAAAAAAAAAAAAAAACAAAGAAAAGCAATTTAAAAGACATGAAAAATTTTCCAAGAGAAATAAAAACAACTTTCGTATCCATAAAAGAAGAAAAAAAAAAACTGGAAAATTTTTAAGGTTGGACACACACACGCACACGCACGCACACACAGACAGACTGCATCAAACAAAAACAAAAATGACGACGACGACGACGAGAAATAATAAAAAAACGTGGCACCAACAACAACAAATGACATTTCATTTCCATAAACAATATCTTATTTATTTATTTTTTTTTTCCTTCTTTTCCAAAACATAAATAAAAAATAAAACGGAAGGAAAATATGTTACGTCATCGTTATAACAAAACTTATCGCAAACAATATCGAGCGATCGAATCACCGGAAGTAACGACGTTTCCTTTTTTTTTTTTTTTTTTTATAAAAATTAATTTTCTTTTAACCGTCTTCTGCTAACAATTTTTTTTGTTTTAAATGTAAAAAAATATTCCAAGTAAAAAAAAAAAATTTTAATAAGATTTTGTTTTTTTTTTAATTTAATTAAAAAATAAAATTTTTTTTTCATTATTATTATTATTATTATTATTATTATTACACGGCCGCCATTTTTAATTTATTAATACAATATTCATAATAATGATGATGATGATAATGATGATATTTTTTTAATAAATATAATTTAAGATTAGTTTAAATTAAATTAAAATTATATTTAATGATTCGTTTTACTTTTAACCTTTTTTCGCAAGATGAAGAAGAAGATGAAGAAGAAGGAGAAAAGTACCAGAATGCTTTCAAATAATTTAATAAATATTTTTTTAATTAAATTAAATTTTTTTTAAAAAACGGGAAAGAAAAGAGAAAAAAAAAAATGGGGGGAGTGGGAGAGGAGGAGAGGGGGAGGGAAGGAGGTGGGAAATACTTTTAATTACGCGGTGATTAACTCTTAAATTAAAAAAAAAATTATTTTTCCAAACTTTTCATTTTCATTTTCATTTTCATTTTTTTTTTCTCAACATTTGAAATTTAAAACCGTAAAATTTAATTTTTACTATTATCGATTATCTCACATTATTATCATTATTATGTCCACCATTAAACACGACAAGGCTACTTGTCGGAGTTTTTAAGTATTATCCGAGGTT